TATTTCGGACAATACTACATTTATCTTTCACAAATTTGATTTTATAACATAATTAATTTTATCACATCATAACAAATAAATAGATGAATTGCTTTTTAAAAATAAAAAATATAAATACTCAACTAATGTCACGAAATAATGAATTCTTTATTTGTACTAAATATTTTAATGTAGAATTTTTCCAAAATTTGAAATCATTATTAAATTTCTATTTTAAAATAAAAAGAAAGGTCAATTCATCATTAATAAAATTTGCCACATAAGCAACCAATAAAGACTTGCCATCTCACCTTAATATAGGCCACATAAGCTTGTCTTTTGGCGACTTTCTAGCAAACGGAGTCTCAAATATTATATTAAAGGATTATATTTTTTATAACTAAAAAGAAATTTTTATACAATCCTTTTTTAATTATGAAACATTATAAAAGCTTAAGTGAGATTGTAACAAAAAGCACCCTAGCTTGGATGGTTAGGAACTCAACTAAATGACCAAGAGATCCTTGTTTCAAACCCCATGGTGGTATGCTTTTGGAAAAAAATTACAAAAAAAGAACTGGTCTAACTGATCAAACCGATCGATTTGTCTAAAAGGGTGACATATCAGCTCGCCACATGTCGCGCTTTAACTTTGCCAAATGTCGCCACATGTTGTGCTTTAGCTCTGCCAAATGTCACGTTCTTATAGCTCCGACTCTGCTTTATATATATAAAGGATATATAGGATAGGAAGAATATTTTCGAACGAACTAGAAAGAAAAGAAAAGTGAAAGGAATATTTATAGACGGTGGAGTAAGAATAAATCGAAAAGAATAAGCTTAAACATTGCTTTAGAGGGCAAGCTTAAACTGTGTAGTTCTAGAAACCCAATCATTTTTCAATTCAGAGCTGTTTGGGCGAAATAATGCGTATTGTTCAGGTCAAATTTTTTATTTACGCAGTGACATTGGAATGGTCATCCACCTATTTTCCATGCTCCCTTCGGCTCCCCTCCTCTCCTTCACATTCAATTCACCTTCTTTCTCTTTAATAAAAATACTCCCCCCTTCCCATCTCCCTCTTAGTTTACATCACCAAGCACACAACCATTAAACTCCAATCTCTTACTCTCCTCTTTCACGGTTGAGCGGAAGCACCCTGACGGAAGACATATTTGTTGTTCTTACCATCTCCGATCGTCATGTTCTAGAGGTGAGAAAATTGCCACTCTATGAATTGACATATTTGTCGTTCTTACCATATGCGAACGAACGGTCGACCACCGACAATCATGGTTGTCCGTGAATGGCTCTCTTGAAGGTCTCCACGTCCGTAATCAACCTTGTACGATCACCAAGCGTGAAGAAATTAACGTTCCAACAGCACGGTCAATCGTCCATCACACTACCTCAATCGGAATAGCTAAAGGGTCAACAACCGTAGGTCACAATCGACCGTCACGGTCACAGATTCTGTCCTTTGCCCAAACTGCGAAAACTTTTGTGATAAGTTAAACCCTATTTTGAATGATTCTTGTTTACTTAATAAGCTACTATATGCTTTCATCCATGCTTACATGTTTCTTGTTATGATCCATCCATACATGATTATTATCCTTCACTCATCACATGACATATACTCATGTTCAGGAAGCATTTCATTTTGTCTTGTGTAAGAGGTCTAGCCAAGTGCACCACTTGCAGTGTGCTCGTGCGGGACTTACCAGTTTGACGACATGTTTGTTCGGGCTTAGTGTATGTACATAGTAATCAGGATCATTATCGGATGCCACCCACATTTGTTCTAGTCTCACCACTGAGACTAAGGTTGCATGAATTATCATCCACAAGGAATGATCTATGAGCGCAAGGTGTTCTTGCATAGTTTAGTTCATGCATCATGATTGATATATCTTGTGCCATCATCATTCGATCTCCCGTATAATTATGTACAATTATGAATGTGTGTGTGCCCATATTGTTATCCAACTTCGTGTCCTCTTGTTAGATTTACCACTTAGCTTTATGCTGAGCATGTAGTTTGTTACTTGTTACTATCTCAATAACTTTATCTTTTCAGGGTTAACTAAACCTTGTTGCACTTTATTTTTGGTTTAATACTTTTTAAGCTTCCACACCAAACTGTTTACATTTTACTTCGTTATATTTTCTTGAATTGGTTTGCTTAAAGTTATTATTAAAAAGGGTAAATTAGATGTCCTAAAATAACATTTTAGTAACTGCTCTGACATGTTGGGTTGCGTGTAATTAGAACTTACGAGTTAGGGTGTTATAATATATCTCCTTCGACGGATGCTTCGCCATTGACATCAGACGCGCGGCGCGCACCTACACACGCACCCACACCCGTCGCCGTACCCACACCCGCACCCCCACCTATGCCGTAGAGGAGATCCCTAGTTTCACATTCGGTTCAGTCACAAGGCACCTGACCAACGTGGAGTACATGATCTGCATTTTGGGACTTCAAGAGGCACAATCAGCTACAATGCTTCTCGTTGTGCCTCCACGCGTTCCATGGGAAGTGCGTTGAGAGGTGGATCTCCGAGCACTTGACTTGCCCTATCTATGGCCAAGTGGCGTTTATGATAGATGCCTAGCCGATCGAGATGACAACTTGCTCCACCAGTAACAACCGCGGTTTCCAGGTCAAGATTAGAAGTATAAGCTGCTGCCGTAGAGACTCTCGTCAAACCGTTGGTGATAGTGCAATTTTGATGGACCACTACGACCTAGAGGATGGCCTCTGGGAGATCTTCAAGTGGTTCAAATGGGTTTAGATGTGGTGGCTTTTAATGTTTTAGTGTTGATTATTTTGGTTAGTTTAGATTAGATTAGCTTTCAGTTTCATTCATTCTTGTGTGTGTGTGTAACACCCCAACTCGCATAACTCGAATAAATGGATTGACAGACCGGTTTATTGCTAAATTGGTACACACATACAATATTTTCCAAATAAATTAAAATCATTTAATTCCAAAAGTCCAATCATTACAAAATAATTCAAACATTTATCATAGTTAATTGAAAATAGTGCGGAAGCTAAACTGTTATTTAACAAAAATCATCTAACATTATTAATATAAAACCATCGTAGTAATTATTCCTTTAAAGTCCTACATAAGTATATCTCATCTGTCTCGCTGCTCTCTGAAATCAACTGACCTCAGTCTTACCTGCGTGCAACCAAAACAAATAACTGCATGTTCAACGATGAGCTGAGTGAGAAATATCTAACATTTCAAACATACATATAAGCAAATCCACTAGTTCACAATTATCACATGATATCATATATGCACATAAGTCTAATATCATGCAATTCACATAAACAGTTTAACACACAGTTTACCTGGCACTTGACCATCCTTGTTCTCATCATACTTGAGCATTCCTTGTAATGGTGGATCACAATAAACCTGTACTTATACTAGACCAGCGGGTCATGCTCAACCAACAAAGGAGTTCTCTGTTAAGTGGGTGGAATCCCAACCTGATGGGTCACCTGGCAGTTCAAGGATACCAGTATGTACGTTTTTACCTGACTCTACCATTAGGCCCAGCAGGCGCCACATCGCATTACTCTTAATTCTATTACTTGAGTCAATCCTAAAGTTTCTCTAGGTAGACTTACCTTAGTTCATGGAGTTGGTGCAACACCCATGTAATATGTGTTTTGCATGCATGATGAGCCCGCACTTACCATTGGATTCAAGATTGGATCAACCATAGAAATCCTAAATTCACAAAAGTGTTGGATCAACACATAACAATCAAACATAACACATAGCGGTCTAGTGTTGGGTGTAAACACCCACTAGGGTGGCCAAGATGGCGATGCCAAGTTCCTGGGTCAGCTCTAGGAATGTGAACCTGGGCAGCAGAATCTGGAGGGTAGAAGGGATAAGGAGGACCAAGATTATTGGAGCGATGAATCATAGTTCCCTTCTATTTGTCCTTCACAAAAAACCGGAAGAGTCAAACTCAATAAAACAGTTATTATCACGAGTGAATTGACAAACAGAGATAAGGTTATGTATTATGTGGGGGGTTATGAGGATATTATTTAGGGATATGGGCGGAGTAGTTTTTAAGAGGTGAGTGTCGGTAGCCGTAATGGGGACTTTTGATTTGTTTCCGATAGTGATATATGATGGTGAATGTAATCTTTTATTAAAAACATGACAAATAATATTTGGGTTTGAGGCTATATAGTAAGAGGTGAAGGTGTCGAGAATCCATGTAGGTTCTCGAATGGACATGGTGTCGAAGTGGGGGGCAATGGCAGTGGGTTGGGGAGGGGCGTAGGCTTGCGGTAGGGTGAGAGGGTTGCAGGTAAATGGTGTGGGATGGAGGTTGGGGTAATATGGCTCAAATGGGTTCAAGTTGGGCCATGTGTGTTGGGTGTAAAAGCTTTAAGGTGAGTACAGGCAAGGGGGTGTGGTAGGTCGAGGACCTAAAATGCTGGGTGTGGGATATAGTGATTGCCAGGGTGTATTGCCACCATAGGTGGGCAAAGGACTAATTCCGCTGACCACGACCACGTTGATGCCCGAGACCGTGTCCACCGCTGCCCCATCCTGTCCAGTTATTGTTGTCGTGAATCTACCCATGTGCGCCGCCACTACTACTAGTGCTGAGGGGGAGGATGAGCCGACAGCAACCAGGGTCGTGGATAGCACCGATGCGAGGTCTATCCGTTGTTGATCGAGTAGCAACAGGGTCTAGCGGTCCTCCAAATACGACGATAGGGGCTTCTGAAATTGGAAGAAATTAGCCTGTGAACGTAGATCATCGGGGAGACCATGAATGGCTTGAAGAAAAAGTTGGTGATCCGAGACAGGTGCATTGACGTCATCAAGGTGATCTGCCACGTTCTTCAATATGTGACAATTCTCAAACATGGTTTTAATACCTTTGGTGGTGGTGCAGAATCTGTGCTCAAATTGCGTAGTCCGGCCACACATGTTCTTGTGGAAGAGGTCATGAATACCCTTCCAAAGTTTAGCAGCGGTGGAGTTTGAAGTGATGATCAGTTCTGAAACTTCATCATTGACGGTTGAAAAAATGCATCCCTGGAGTCTTACTGGAGAACGGCATCAAATTGGATCCATTCAACATCATCGTTATCCATTGGTTCAATGGTTCCGTCGAGATATCCGTGAAGATTGAAGCGACACACAAGAAGAAGAAAAGGTTTAATCCATTTTTTTAGTTTGGTTCAAAAAGACTAAGTTGAATAAGGATATCAAGTTTGATAATAGAGATTGTGGTGAAGGCAATGTGAGGCGAGTTGGAGGAGCAGTTTTGATTCAAGGGAGATGAGATAAGAGAGGCGTCGGCAGCCATGTTTGCTGGGAAGATGATCATCAGTGAGAAGAGGGAAGAGGGCCGATTTTGAAGAAGAGAAACAAGGAGATCGGCTACGGTTTTTATTTCCTAGTTTGGCTCCGATACCATGAAGAATAACTTGATTCAATTGATTACAGAAGGTTACAAGGGTGTGAATATATATATATATATATATATATATATATATATATATATATATTAAAAATATTCCAAACCGTGTTCCATAGTCTCCAACTCTAACAAGCATCCCTCTATCATGAGTGTACTATGAGAAGTTCGAAGCCAATCTTGTGCACAAAGAACTGCCTCCACCATTTTAGGAGTCAAAGAAATTCAGAAAGAATCAAGAGCATGTCCACATGTACTAAAAGTGAAATTTGAAGCAACTGTTGATACGAGAATCACAAGAACATCTCGAGCTATGTGTTGACGTATATGATAGGTCATTCTTCTATCTTTCCACCATTTCAAGATGACAAAGTGAGGGTCCTTAGGCTCCAGATCATATTCCAAGTACTTCTCCAATTCATTTTTCCTTACAATAGTGCCTTCCACACCCTAGTCAGTGTCAAATGCGGAATTCGTAAGCTCATCAATATCCATGACTTGACTTCTTTAAATATATTCTAAATATATTTAGTATCTTGTATTATATGGTTGTTAGTGATGGATACCCTGGACAGGGGGTATCCGGTCTTTGTATAATATTAGTTGGGGCGGTCCAGTTTGTTGGACCAGCCCGTTAGTCGTATATTAATTGTTTATTTAGTGGCGGCCTAGCCTGTTGGGCCGACCCATTACTCTTTGTATGGAAAACCCTAACCCTAACTCTCCCTATTTATACCCCTCTTCTTGGAAGAGGGGGGGAGGGAGGAAGGAGGCTCAATTCACACACATCTTCTTCTTCTTAACACTTTTCTCCTTCTTTTCTACCCATGGATTCCATAATCCAACAATGGTGCTCTTGTTGAGAGTGTCGAACGCATCAAGCGTGCTCTCAAAAAAAAATTATCAGAATTGTTTCTGTTTTGCTTTTGAGAGATTCATCGTTGCGGTGAATCCTTCCATTCTCCCTGAGAGGTTGCAAAAAAATTCCATCACAAAGAGTGTTGAAACCCGATCTGGAGGGGGTCATTCTCTCGCCACCAAAGGAGGGTCCACTAATTGGAGTCTATCGTCACGGGTACCCTCGGCGAGTAATGCCCAACTTCGTATCTATTCACCGTCACTGATTTGGCTTCTTCACCCGGGTCTAGAGTGGACTCTATATTTCTCACTCTCTCCTCTTATGCATTTAAGTCAAAATCACATACGGCCAAATACATGACCGTTTCAGAGGCCGAGTTTATAATTTCTAGTAGAGCGCAAACTGAGACTGGAGGATGACCAAGTCCGAGTTCAAGATCATGACGATAATGTTTTGAAGTCCAGTTTGGCGGTGGTGATCTTAGCCGGCCGAGTGTAGTATGTTCGGCCGGGTGCCTGTTCTGATCCCATATAACTTGAGGGGCCGTGTGATGTTTGTTTTGTCTTTCTCTTCTTACGACATGGTACATGTTCTGATATCCGAGTACGATGATCTCCATCACTTCTAATCTCAACGGTCTGCGACCTGCCTTCATGGTTAGCTCAGATGTGCACTAACTCCGTATTTAAGTGATTACTACTCAGATTTGTGCCACGTTTGCTTCTACGACTTGGATAGTTCAAAAAAAAAAAAGAAAAAGAAAAAAGAATCATCAATAGAGTGTTCGCTTCCACGCGACTTTATGCAGTTGTGCATCATTGGGCTTCCACGCCATGATCCGGCCTCATGCGGTCCTCGTCATTGCGCGAGCAATTCCCTCTGGAGGGCAACACAAGGTCTTGCTTAGGACAAAAACTTGTAGTCCTGCTGAGGACAAATATTAGATCTGCTTAGATCGCACTTCTACACTACCACGCGTCATTAGCGCCTCGCCGCTCCAACAAAAAAACAAAAACGACAAAGGAATTTTCATATTTTGTCTTTCAGGTATGAAGTGGAAGACCTCATGGCATACTCAGTCCGAACCCGCCTAATAGAGCTCACAGATGGCACATTACTTCACCCGTTTCCCAAGGTCGGACCTAGCCACCTCGCAAAGAACTTAAGCCCTCGTCTCTCGAGGCAATTTAAAGTCCTCTCTCGAGGTCGGCCCCATCCACCTCACGAGGCACTCAAGCCCTCGTCTCCCAAGGAAACTAAAAGCCCTCTCCCCAGGTCGGCCATAGCCACCTCACGAGGCACTTAACTCTTTTCCCGAGGTCGGCCTCGGCCGCCTCGCAAACAACTTAAGCCCTTGTCTCCCGAGGCAACTAAAAGCCCTCTCCCAAGGTCAGCCCCAGCCGCCTCACGAGGCACTCGAATCCTCTCCCGAGGTCGGCCTCGGCCGCCCCGCAAGATGCTTAAGCCCTCGTCTCCCGAGGCAATTAAAAGTCCTCTCCTGAGGTCGGCCCCATCCACCTCACGAGGCACTCAAGCTCTCGGCTTCGAGGCAACCAAAAGCCCTCTCCTGAGGTCAGTCTAATCCACCTCACGAGGAACTCAAGCCCTCGGCTCCCGAGGCAATCAAAAGTCTTCTCCTGAGGTCGGCCCCGTCCACCTCACAAGGCACTTAAGCCCTCGTCTCCCGGGGCACCCAAAAGCCCTCTCCCGAGGTCGGCCCCATCCACTTCACGATGCGCCTCGTCTCTCGAGGCAACTAAAAGCCCTTCCCCGAGGTTGGTCTCGGCCACCTCACACGGCACGAAAATTATCTCTAGACAAATCCAACTCTTTTCCCGAGGTCGGCATCAGCCACCTCGCAATGCATTTAAGCCCTCGTCACACGAGGCTTCCGAAGCCCTCTTCTCAAGGCACCCGTCAATTCCCTCCCCAGGCACACCCCTAGCCCACTTTCTAGGGCATAACATTAACTACTCACAAGGTGGGCGGTCTGGTCAAGCTTCTTGGCCAAGCCCATCAGTTTATTTATCTTTGTATGAGATTTTTTCAGGCAGAGTAATTTATGCAGAGAAGTCGTAACAGAGTGAGGGAACCAAAGATTCCCACCGGAGCCGAGCATGAGCATTACTCCCTTTCACCTTGGCATTCTTCCTCGGCTTAGGGAGTGGGGGACTCCAAGTACTCGGCTCGTGATCGTCACATTGCACACCAGGAGAGCTTGGCGAAGCAACATCTCAATCTAACATGGCACTGCAGCAGTTCGTGCCAGCATGCACTCACTTGCAATATATTATGTTGAACAACCATCGACTCCGGACAATGAGTCCAGGGGACTTGAAGATCGCTGATGTAGAATTTTGGTTTGACTCAAAATCCCATAGTAGTATAGGGGGTAAGCTAGGTTAGTTTATCCCCGTGTCATCTCAAGGATCGGCTCAAAGGAAAGCTTAGCAAGACTAGCTAGACAAGATTTACTAGTTGAATTAAAAAGTTTTCAAGAATTCGATAAATGAGTGGAGATTGACTTTACCCTTTCAGGAATAAAAGATAGGGATGTAATTATTGTTCGGGTGATGGCTCTTTTAAGGTTATAATTATTAGTTGGGTTTACTTTTACCTTAAATCTTTTTACTAGCAAGCAAATACTCTTTAAATATTTACTTTATAACCAATCCGATGTCTAAAGATTAATTATCAATATTAAAGAACTTGACTTAATTAAATTCCAGATTTCTCTAAGAATATAATTTTCAAAGGTAGATTTGTGTTCTGTCGATTTACAAATCTCAATAACAATTTCGCAATAATAAAAACTAATAATTTGATTTTAATAAAAATTTCAACACAATAATTTTACCCAAAAATTACCATCACCCTACCAAAAATCACATCTCTAATTAATTTAACTACTCATACCAAAAGATCTCAACATGCATTAATGATAAGAAAACATACTTCAATTGATGAATAAAAGTAGAAAACTTACTTTAACAGATCTGAAGAACAGGAGGTCCGGGCTACAAATCGCTCCGTGAAAACCTCGAAATTGACACTATAAAATATTGATGATGAATTTGTGAATTGAATTGTTGAATTAATTGATTGATTGAATTGAATTTAATTGGGAGTTTGTATCGTTCTTGCTCGGTTATGCTCTATTGCGTTCTTCTGCCTTCTCTCTGTCGTTTTCCTCGCTCTGTTCTGTTCCTCGTCCATCTGTTCTGTCCTTTCAATCGGTTGCTACTCCCTCTCTGTGCCGCTGATTCCCGGAGGGAGAACTCGCTGCCGCCGGACTGGTGCTGGCCCGCCGGTGGTTTGCTTCTGGGAACGGAACAGGAAGTTCGTCCTGTTACCATCGGAGGAACTATTCCGCCGCTGCTGTTTTGGCGTGGAGCTGCTGGTCGCTGCCGGAGTCGCTAGGATGCCGGCCAAGTTCCTGCTCGTCGAGGGGAACTACAAGAAGAAGATGCAAGTAGCAATTGCCAGATCGGTGACAACATACAGTTTGTAAGGAATTGCAATTGACCCTAGAATTTTTAATTGGTTGCAACTAATTCCCTTTTTACAATTTGATGCCAAATAAAGCAATGAATACAAAATGCGCCCGGTTCTATGGCCACTGAAATCCAGTGGCCATGGAAGACACTGCCCTCTACTGTGCTTCGTTCATGAAATTGATGATTCCTACCCTCCTAATCCCCCGGTAAACCCCCTGCCAAGTCCCGACCCAAACTAATCACCCCACCTACGTCAATTGCACCTCGTAAGTATAAAGTCAAAACTTTTGACGTTAAAGTCAATTATACTTATAAGGTGCAATTGACGTAGGTGGGGTGATTAATTTGGGTCGAGACTTGGCGGGGGTTTACCAGGGGTAGGAATCATCAATTTCATGAACGGAGCACCGTAGGGGGCAGTGGCTTCCGTGGCCACTGGATTCCAGTGGCCATAGAACCGGGCTCATACAAAATAGCCGAAAACTTCTAAACTACTGAATTGAGGATATTTGTGTGTTGAATTGAAATTATGGAAATAGGCCATCTGGTATATCTAGGAACATCTGAGTTAAAGCAGACTCACAAGGATTAAGATCTAGGATTTAGACCTGGTGGGGCGAGCTTCGCATAACTCACAGGTCTTGGGCTAAAAACGTATGTACGGGAGTCATTAGCCTACCTAGGGATTCCTTTGTAGGGGCTCCAACCCGCCCATTGAGGATTCTCTTTGGGTTTCATCAAGCGTGGCCTCGGGGGATCCGTCCGAGTGTCCATGGCTTAGTTAGTCAAAAGAAAACCTTAGCGTATAGGGTTAAGTGTAGACGTACAACAGGAACTGAATATAAATAAATTGTTGATCATGATATTTGATAATGATGTTTGTTGATTCTTCTAATATTGTATGATTATATGTTGTTGGATGCTAATTTATGAGTTAGTTCTAGCGTTAGATACTTCCACTCTCCATATATTTCTACAAGTAGAGATCAATGACTAAATGAGGAGCAGCCTGGAGAACAGTGAGGCATGACGCTGGTGGATGGCCCGATGCTGTTGAAATTGAATTAAATGGTTGTTGGCTTTATTTTGTTTAAACTACAAGAATGTTGATGTTGTTTTAAGGCTTCAGCAACATTTGAATTAATTACTCCGATTAAATTATGATTATTTTTAAATAAATATGAATGTTTGATTTATTTCTAAATGTTTTAAAAATATTATGCATGTGAATACCAAATTAGTAGCAATCCGACTCGCTAACTCGTCGGTTCGGGTTACGCGGGTTGGGGTGTTACACGTCTAGTTAGAAAAATTAACTAATTCACTTCGTCCATTTCTTGAGAGACACGACACTCGAAGAAAACTGACCCTTCATTGGGAAGATTGACTTACCTTAAAAGTTAAAACTCAAATCATCAATGAGTCATTGGATCTTATAGAAGATGAAGACCTTGAACATGAATAATTAGATGTATATTGTGGCTATATGTTTAATGTAACTTTATGCTTAACTTATGTTGCTTTAGGCTCCGTTCCGTTCAACTTATTTTCTTTGATCTGATCTTATTTTCTGTAGTTCTGATTTGATCTGATTGGATCTGATCTGATCACATCTGATTGGATCTGATCTGGTCTTGTCTGATCAGATATGATTAATTATGATTTGATTTAAAATTCAAATCAATAATTTGATTTGACTTTATAATAACGTTTGAAAATTGCAATGATAATTCATATTATAATATAATCAATATTTTTTATTTTATGATTATTTTTTAATGAAAGAAAATTAGTTAATTCATATATTAGAATAATCGTTCATATTATAACGTAATAATTTTTTATTTTATGATTATATTTTTATGAAATAAGAATATTGATTTAATATTTCAACAATTAGTTCATATACACATTAGAATAAATATTTAATTCATATACACACACACACACACACACATATAAAGTAATTAAATTTAGGTAATCAATATAGAGAAGAGATACTATTTTTATTAAAATATCTCATCCTTATAAAATATCAACGTGTGCTTTGTACTACGAAACATTTTTTATGATTAATATAACACCATAGATATAATAGTTATTTCAATTACACTAAAATATACTCCATATATGAATATCAAATGTTAATTTTATTTAAGTCATGATCAAAGTTGATCAATTCGATGTAGTAAAAGATCAAACTTTAGAAACTTAAATTACAGGTTGCAATAAAAATGTATTTTAAAAGTAAAATTAGATTGACATTGACAATGTATTTTAAAAATAATTTTTCTGACGTCTAATAATTAAGGATTACTTTCTCAGTTTTCTATTTAACTTGTTTCTAAAGTTTATTGTTTTTCATTTTTAAGAATAATAATAATTATAATAACAATAACGACAACAACAAGAACAACCACAACAACAACAACAACAACAATAATAATAATAATTCTTGATGGGATATGGTCTGATCTGATTGGATTCTGATATGATATGATATAATTGGATGTGATCTGATATGATCTGATCTAGTCTAATCTGATTTTAATAAGAATAAGAAAAAAACAGAAAAAATAAGTTGAACGGAACGTGGCCTTAGTACATTGAATTGTTGATTTTGAAACTATAGCATTTTGGACTTTTTGCATTAGCATTTTGGAGCTTTTTGTTTTAGCATTGCTTTTATTTTGGTTTGTTTAGGCCAAATTTACTCTCAAATTGAATTTGGTATCAATTTTATTTATTAGACCATTAGCTAGTGGTGGAATTGTCCTTTTATCGAAGTGAAATTTGCACTAAATAGGACTAAAACATAAGTCATTTTTGAATGTAGGGTTAACATTTTTTTCCCTTAAATAGTACTTAATAATGACTAGTAACAAGAATAATGTTCGTTGATGATGATCATTTACTTGAATAATGACTAATGGATAATGACCAATGGTCCTACATTGAGAAATAAAAAACATATGGTCATATATTGAGAAAATCATTATGTTTTAGTCATATTTAGGTAAATTCTCCTTTACCCAATTTATGTTGAATTTGGTAGGAATTGTGGGTTGATTTTGCCTTTTAACCCTTTTTTATATAAATTTTGGATAAAAAGTTAAACTTTTTTGGATATTCTATCGATCCGATCTGAAACATTGGATATTTAAAGTTCAGACATCCAAACCTTTTCGGATCCGATATATACTGATTTTTCTTTGATCCAGACTTTTGGATATCCAACATTGCGGATCAGATCAGATTGATTCAGTTGAACACCATAATCCTTATCAATCTAATTTTGATAGGTATATCATCATAGAGACAAATATTTTAGTGGACCTTAGATACATTTTAATTTTGTAGACCTTATTTAATATTTTACTATTCTCTCCGTCCCAAAAATTGTCACATTTTGACCTTTTTGGTCAAACTGTGCAACACTTTGACGATAAATTATAAAAAAAGTATATTCAATTATAATGTAAATTTAGAAAAATTAAGTTTATTTTAAAATATCAAATTTTTGTTATATTTAATATGTAATCAAAATGTATCACAGTTGGACGAAAAAAGTTAAATTGTGTCAATTTTTTGGGAGAGAAGGAATATGTTGTTGAAAACTTGTATCATCTTAAATTCACAAAAATAAAATAGATGTGAATCTTAAAACCAGCATGAGTATTCTATTAGAGATGCCACAACATTAAATTAAATACACACAACGTTCGATGTCAGAAATCTCATCTCACTTCACGAGTTACCTCTCTAAATTTGGCCTATATAGTTCAAACGAGATTATAAGAATTTAATGTGTTGGCATCAATCATCCCTCTCTTTGTTTGATATCTCACTTCTTTTTGAATTCGAATATCTGTCCCTCTTTTGAAACTGAAACCTGTCGCAATTAAAACTTCTAAGAGAATTGTTTCCAAAGCAATTTCTTACACGACTTAAATTTGCTTTTTTAGAAAACACCGCCACAGCCTCTCCATAATGATGTTTACTTTTTTATTGTTGCTATTATCCATTGTAATCTCCGAAAATCTTTCATCCCTGTAAAAAAAGGAAACCCAGGGAAAAGAAAAGATTACTGCTTTGTAAACTCATCCCATCCCATCCCAGACAGAGTAGAACAGAGTTCTGGTGTTTTCTTGGATTTTTCCTTTGTTTTTTTTGGATTTGGGGAGTGTGAAAAGGTATGGAATTGCGCAAACATGCGTTCTCTGGGCAGTTTCCCGGCCAGTTATCGCCGAGAAGGAAGTTTTCCGGTTGCTGTTGGCTGTGGGCGGCGGCCACATTCTTCTTGCTCGGCGTTGTTCTTCTCAACTTCTCATTCAAAACTCCGTTCTCGAATCCGGTGCTTCAGGGCCTGAACAATGCCGCCGCCGGAGAAAATCTGCAGGAGTTCTCCGGCGAGGAGAAAGAAGGGATGTCGAAGAAAACCCGGGAGCCAAACCCGCCGGAGAACGGTAAAAATCAGAACTTTACCGTTCTTGAGAGAATTGGTGTCAGGGGCTCTTCTGGGAAGGGCAAAACTGGAAACTTTTCATCCCAAGAAGGGGTAAAAAACAGTAGTAATCAGAGCAAAGGTTCAGTTTTGAGAAAAGGAAGGAGCTTTAATGGAGAATGTGACATCTATGATGGTGAATGGGTAAGAGATGAGACAAAGCTTTATTACCCATCTGGTTCATGCCCTTACATTGATGAAGATTTTGACTGTCATCTCAACAAGAGACCTGATGAAGGGTATCTCAAATGGAGATGGCAACCATTTGCATGTGACATCCCAAGGTAATTAAAAGTTACCCTCACTTTGTTTTCAGTAGTTAACTAGGTTGATGTACATGTTCCACTGTTTCATTGCATTCTTGAAGTTACTAGGTTCAGAAATTAAGGGTTTGTTTGGTTGGATACTTTTGCAGGTGTTGGTTTGAAGGGGGAAGGCCTATATATTTGAAATTTCAATGAGCTATTATTCTTTTTTAGGAACATTCTGTTTATAGAGATACATCCCACTTCAAACACAGCCTTAGCCTTTTATTAGGAAATACTCTTACCTGTTTTTGCAAGTTGTGCATATATAAGTGTATACAATTTGAGGTTTTTTTTGGAGAAACTGATGTTGTTTTGTTGTTGTGTGGGTTGTTCATCAGCATCAACAGCACTGATTTTTTGGAGAGATTGAGAGGCCAGAAGTTGGTATTCGTGGGTGATTCGTTGAACAGAAACATGTGGGAATCTCTTGTTTGCATTCTGCGTCAAGGTGTCCGCGACAAGAGGAAGGTTTTTGAGATTTCGGGTCGGAGTGACTTCAAGAAGAAAGGGGTTTATGCATTCAGATTTGAGGTATAAAAAAAACACTTTAACACATACTCAGTATATAGTAGTGGTCAAAAGTCTAATGGTGTTGTGAATCTTTGTGATCCATAAATCATTCTGCAGGATTTTAACTGCTCTGTGGACTTTGTTAGCTCTCCGTTTCTTGTGAGGGAATCGACATTCGAAGGAGCGAGTGGTTCTTTTGAGACTTTGAGGTTGGACTTGATGGACACCACTACTTCGATGTATGGTGATGCAGATATCATAGTCTTCAACACTGGTCATTGGTGGACTCATGAGAAAACCTCTAGAGGGTTAGTGTGTGTCGTATATTATACAATATTGGAGCTTCTTATAGAAAACCACTACATTAATGTTTAGAAAAAAAGATAAATCTTGGAGCTTCTTAATGATGAAGAAAACATATGGTTTTGGTGGGTTTACAGGGAAGACTACTATCAAGAAGGCAATCAAGTGCACCCCCAACTCAAGGTTCTTGAAGCATATAAGAGAGCACTTCATACTTGGGCAAGATGGGTGGATGAGAACATTGATGCCAGCCGAACTCAAGTGTTCTTCAGAGGATATTCGCTCACGCATTTCAGGTATTACGCTCTTGTCTTTGTACGTCAAAGTACGCTCTCCCGGTGTTTGGCTGACTTTAGCTTTTTGACCGAGTCAAAACGCTAAAGAGAGTGTCCCGTTTCAACTAAATGGGTAGGTTCTTTTGACACGAAGGGTAAGTGTCATAATATGACACTGTTCCATTTGAGGGTCTTATGGTCTTATATAGTGCTATGTTTGATCGTGAAATGGTTCCTATCCTCTAATCCCCACAAACCTAGGCCTCTAGCCCGGCCTTTTCCCACCCCGTCCTATGGGTATATGTGACAATGGATTGTCACATAGTGGTGTGACGCTAGGGGGTAAGAACCACTTTGGGGTCAAATGAAGCATCGTAGGACCTTCAAATGGACTTTGTGTCATTTAGGACACCAAGGTTGGGTGTTTGTAGGGGGTGGGGCTAGGGGGTTTGTAGGCGGATTAGCGGGATAAGATTTACTTCGGGGTCAAACAGATATTGTAGGGCCCGCAAATGGACTTGGAGACATATTATGACATTAAGGTTTGGTGTCAAAAGAACATTGGAATTTATTATCGGCAAGGTTTTGTTGACACCGGAGTACGGTGACACTCCGATGTCACTGTCTTTTTGGAGCACCTCCGGTGTTCCGTACGCAAAATTGAGGGTTCCTATCCTCCTTCTAAACCCCCACTCCTGGCCCCTCTCCCTCCAAATGTGTGTCTATTATGCAATGTATAATAGCCACACATCTAGAGAAGGCAAAGTGGGGAGGGGCAGGGGTGAGGGTTTACAGAGAGGTTAGAGGGGTAGGAGTCATACATTTTGCGAACAGAGCACCAGTGTTAATGGAACCTTACCGATTTAATATATGCACTTGCAGAGGTGGCTCGTGGAATTCGGGCGGGCAATGCGACAACGAAACCGAACCGTTTTCGAGCAAAGAGCATTTGGAGAAGTACCCATCAAAGATGGAAGTGCTTGAGGAAGTGGTCCATGGCATGAAAACACCAGTGGGATATATGAACATCAGCACCCTCACAGACTACAGGAAAGACGGGCATCCCTCCATTTATAGGTCAGCCAAGAATAACCAGAGCTCTTTGCATGCTCAGGACTGCAGCCACTGGTGCCTGCCCGGAGTTCCCGACACATGGAACGAGTTGTTGTACGCGTCCCTCTTGAAGAGTGCAAGGGGATTGTGGCGAAACTCCGGCAACCGGAGTTTTGTGTCATGATTGTTGATCATCTCTAGCTCTTCTTCACTTCTCTTGATCATTATATGTATGAGTTTATGTGCATTGGTTTTGGGAAGAATGAAGAGGTAAAAAGGCAGTCTTTAGCATGTACACTAGTTTTGTTTATGAAGCTGTATACACACTTTTTTATGTTCATTTGTTAATCAACCATCACCCCAAGATGGTTTGTGGTGATCATGTAAATCCAAACACTGGCTCGAATCGGATTTTAAGCGCGTAAAACACCAAAAAAGACCCTTGATTTATTCAGGTGGTATTCTTCTCCATACTCATCAACGATATAGTACTTCTATAAAAAAAAGACTTCGAGTTTGACTTCACCCAAAGTTTAAGAAAAACGTAGTTGAAACTAATGTAGAGGAGAGAAAATATTGTGAGCCACCTAAAGTTTTTTACAAATGGAAAGAAAAGGCTTTCGTGAGACGTTCCAAAAAATAAATAAGGAGTCTTTTTTTTGGAGAAAATGAGTATCCTAATGTTCAATGTGTTTCTTTTGAAAACAACTTTTGTGGTCATAATATGACACCAAGGACAAGAGTGCTCAACAACTCTTATTGTCATAATATGCTCAACAACTCTTTTAGTCATAATATGACACCAAAAACTACAATGTTATGTTTGAAAAATAATTTATACTCCCTCCATCCGTATTTGTTTGCCACATTTCGAAGTTAGTGTAAAATATTACTTCCCCCGTCCCAAATTATAATGCATGTTCACTATTCATAGGGTCAAACTTCATTCACCTTCTTTCTCTATTTTCGTTAGCAATTTGATAAAATAAAATACTATTGTCACTACTAGTTTTGTAGATCTTTTGATGTAGTTTTTTAATATGAAATTTTTATTTTTTAATTCTATACCATTTGTCATATAAAATGGTTTGAAAATAATTTCAATCAAACATCGTAAACCGAAACAGACGTTATAAAATGGGACGGAGGTAGTATCTCTTTTGAACTCATTTTATTTACAAATTGGTAGAGAAAAAAAATAAAAATTACACAGTTGAAAAGTACATGAAACGTTTTACAAAATAAGATGTGACAAAAATATTTTATTTTATCAAATGGTCAACCAGAATGAGTAAACAAACAAAAGTTATCGAGAAATCAAAATAATAACTGTTACATTCTTTTAGGGATGAAGGAGTTTCTATCTCTCCTAACTTCACAAACCTCCCCCCTCCCCCTAGCACGTCATGCCCAAAACACCGATTGGCAACAATTTTATTGTTGTCAATCGATGTTTTGGCTAGAGGGCATGCATGGGGGTTAGGAGGGGCACAAACAATCAATTTTTAGAACAATGTATTGTAGCCTATGAAACAAGAATTTTATTTAAAAAAGGGAGCCGATTAATGTCATTATCATATTATTGTATAAATATAGGGGACAAGTACAATGAAGTACAGTATTCTGTTTGAAAAATTAAAAATTCTTACTACCCTCTCCCTTAAACCATCTTCTGCACTCCAGTCTCCTTCACCGAATGGCTACCGTGTTACTGTATCCAATCGAGAGAGTGGCCCAAAGGGTGCAAGAAGGTTAATGAGGTAGAAATCTACAATTTTTCGAAAGGAACGCCGTAGGGAATGAACTTGAATTATCTCGAAACCAAGAGATTGATCAAAGCTCAACATGAAGAACAAAAACAAACAGTTGTTACACGTACAAGGTGTGTGTGATTATTGTATAATCAATTTTGGGAGAGTGAAAGCAAATTAGAGAGATGAAATGAGTATTTGATTATCATTACAATTAATATTATTATTATTATTAATAATTGTATTGATAATAACTACTACTAGTCATTAAGGGAGAAGAATTGTCCGGCGAGGGTGTCCATGACAGCCAACTGCATGTGTTCGGAGGGTCTCCAGTGTCGCTTCCTCTGGTTTATGAACCAATTGTTGATCTGCTTCTGGTCTAACCCACTCATTTCTGCTAGAGATATCTTGTCTCCCTCCTGAAACCAATCAAGTAATTAACTAATCATCCCATGCATCACTAAGGGTACAAAAAAACTAAATAGGCAAGACTTGTTATAAAACATTAGTTAAATTTTTTGTTGTTGAGTTCCAAGAAAATTACTCCCTCCGTCCAAAATTAATCTTCGGGTATGTTTTTTCACGTGGTTTATAAAAATGAAATTGTTTGATTGACATTTATAGAGGGGAGAGAGAATCGATTTGAGAAAACTATTTTGGGACTTGCGAAAGAAGAAAGGGGGACGATTAATTCTTGGAGATCATCTTCATAAGTGATCACATTTGCGAAAGAAGCTTCCTTCGATTTGCCCTTCTTCTCCTTTAGGATCTGCAAGTCCTGCTTGAGTTTTGGACAACCGTTCTTCGTGTGACCCAACTTTTCACAGTAATAGCACCTAACAGTGCTCATGTCTCTCAGCTGAGATCTTCTCCCAAGTTGGTCACTCTTCTTCTTCCTCCCTTTCTCAACATTCACAGCAGCTAGTAAATGACTGTCCCCGGAAGACTCTTCACCTCCCATCATCCTTTGACTCTCCTTCAAGACAGTCGTCACCTCATCTAGTCGCAGTGTAGTCCTTCCTGCTATCATTGACTGCACAAACGGCTTAAAGGATTTTGGTAGTGAAGCCAGTAGAAGCAGCCCTTGCTCTTCATCCTTGATAGTCTCCCCTGCATTTAACAGCCTTGATACTTGCTCATTAAACTTGTTGATGTGATCAATTACGCTACCTCCCTCTTCCATCTTCAGTGAGTACAAGTCCATCCTCATCATCAACCGGTTAGTAAGTGTCTTCGAC